TCCCTGTCAGAAGGTGCTTAGCCCCGGCAGCAGCATTAAGGGGCACGTGATGGGCTCCCTCACCCGGGTCTTTGCACCGGGCAGCTTAAGCAGCCTGGAGGGATGCCAGGGTTCAAGGGGACACCACCAAGGTCGGGAGGCCCCAGTGCACACCCAGGGGTTCCCAGCTCTCCCTGCCTTCACAGAACCTTGCTCTGCCCCCCCTGCAATCCCCCTGCCAGGTACAGATTCTCCAGGGGGCTCAACTGACCGGTGAGCTACAACACCCAGACACCACCATCACTTGGGTGTCCCTGCTCCATGCTCCCTGCTCCCACCAAGACCAATTTCTATAGGAAACCCCAAAAAGCTGCTCCCCGACACCCCAGGGTGCTCAGCAGCAGCTCTTTCCCATGGTCTGAGTGGACAAAGGGAGTGTCCCTCCCCTCGTAGGCTTCCCCCACGGCTTAGCCCAGCAGCACTCCACATCCCTGCTCCATCTACCCCAGAGCTGCCGGCATCCCGCACACATCCCATGGGACCACGTTGGAATAGTTCTAACAACTCCAAAATACACAATAATATAGGTTGCAAAAGGACCTCTGGTGGTCCAGCTCCCGGAATGATGGACTGAGAGTCCACTGACTGCGGACGCCGTTCCCTGTCAGAGGGGAGCAGGACAGAAGCTTTGCTTCTCATACAAAAAACGTCAAGCTGCAGTTCCCAGCCCGCTTCCCTGTGTTATTTCACTGCATCGCTGGAACGCCACCGGCTCCCGCTGGTGCAGAAACTCTCGCCTCCAAGAAAGAACTTCTGCTTTCCTTTAATTTCCAGTGAACCAGGCTCCTCCTGGAAGAGCCGCCGGGCGGTCAGCCGTGGAGAAGGAACCGGCAGAGCCGACGCCGAGCTGCTCCCAGGCTCCGGAGACAAAGGCAGGACACACAAATTGGGCTTTCTCCTAATCCCTGGGCGCTGGGTGGGCGCGGGGGGCCGTGGCTTTGTCCGCCCGGAGCAGACAGAGGACGAGGACGGAAGGGACCCCGGCGTCTTTTCAGCCTCCAGAAAGGCGGTCATTGTCCCCTCTGCCGGGTTTTTGTCCCCACTTCCTCCCCCTCGCCACGCGGCCGCCGGCCTGGCGCAGCCCCCCGCTCCCAGCAGAGCCGCGCTGATGGACACACGGAGGGACACAGGACAGACAGACACAGGCAGCCCTAAGGAGGGCACTCACCACCAGCACTTGCCCCTCTCCAAGGCAACCCAGGAGGGGTGTAGGGTGAGGGAGGCTGTGGATGGAGGTACAAGAGAGGGGCCACAGGTGGGCCCCATGCTCCTCATGACCATGGACCTCAACCAGCATGGACAGGAGCTCAGGATAGCCAGGACTGCAGGGGCATATGGGGTGGGACAGATGAACGCGATGTTCCAAGACACCTTTGAGCATCCTGGTGTGTGAAGCACACCTTGAGATGAGAAAAGCCAGCAGGTAGAACAGGACCACCACCCTGCAGCACCGTCATGGGTCAGAAGGTCCAGATGAAACCCAGCTCAGAGGCTTGGGAGAACAAGCAGCACCAGAACAAGGTCCAAAGCAGCTCCAGCTGCAGCACCACAACACCCACTTCAGCTCCAAGGTGCCTGATTCCCACAGCACAAACCCGCTGCTCCCTCCACAGTGACACAGGTTAAATGGAAGATGTCTCACCACAGCCTCCTCCCCCAGCCAGGCAGCAGGCACCAGACCAAGGGCTCTCTCCAACCACACAAGGAAGCATAAGGAAGTTTTTGAGCTGCCAGGGACTCAGCCAGGCGAGAGGCAGCCATGGGGACTGCTGGCAGGGCAGACACCCATGACACCCTCACCTCTGCACTGCTGCTTCCCCCAGTGTGGGGAAACAAGGTGAACCAAGAGCGAAATCAAGCTTCCATCTCCCAGGGCCAAATACCTTTCAGGACACCCATTCTGGGAGAACGTGGTGCGTGATAACCAGGCACAGGCACCCGGAGGCAAAGACAAGGACATTGTTTGCAAGCCATCACCTCTGTCAGCCCCGAAAGCCCCCAGGCTCTGCTCTTCAGATTCATCCTCCCCAAAACTGGCCCAGCCAGAAGATCGACTGTGGGTGGGCCATGGAAGTTACCATCACCTACTGCATCTTCTCCAGACATCAAGAGAGGACCCCCAGGCCTGGGGGAGCTTTGGGCAGTGTTGTAAATGCTGGAGCCTCACCCTGAGTGCTTGCACGTTAAAGAGCCAGAGCTATGACAGGTCTGGGACAGGTCACCAGATGGGCAGCTCATATGGAGACAGTTCATCTCCCATGCTCCCAGCATCCTTGGAAGGGCCAGTTGTGGCAGCCGCTCCGCTCATCTCTGCTACCGAGGTGACACTGAGGGACGTTAAGAAGCCAACTCCTGAATTAAAAAGGCTATGGAAGATTAAATCCAGCATCTGGAGTTAGCCCTGGAAGCAGATGGCGGCTCATCATGGCGCACAGAGTGGCTTTCACCCGTCTCAGCCTTGCAGACAGCCACTCTGCTCTGGTGGTGCCTCCCCACGGCAGCTCTGGATGCACACACAACCTGGCCAGCATGGGCCAGAGACATGTCCTCCCAGGCACATCCTCAGGGATGCAGTGAGACCGTGACGCCGTCCTGCAGGTCAGATTCCTACACCAGGGCTCCACCAAAGGCACATTTTATCCCTGTTAGTTGTGCCTTTCCCCATGTAACCCCATGGCTTCTGCAGGCTTCCCAACCCACCACTGGACACCCAGCTCAGCTAAATGCACCCATCAAGGCAGAGCCTATCACCAACATGCCCTGGACTTCCACTGCAGAGAGGACAAGGATGGACACCATGGACACCATCACCTCCAGGCACATCCTTGGACCTCACCCCGCGGCATCCTGCATGCATCCCACTGTGCCTGGGGCCACCCCATGCTTCCCGACTGTAAAACGTGGGCTGTGTCCTGCCTCCGCAGGGTGGTGGTTATGGATTAAGGAGTCTTAAATGTCAGACGACCAGGCGCTCCCTGGAAATCCACTTATCTCGGCTGCCACTCGGAGCGGCCAGAGCCGGGCGGTTATGGAGATAACGCGATTTGAAGCGTCCACCCGAGCGTTGCAGGGCTGTGGGTGCCCTGCGGACAACACCAGGCACCTCCTCCCCTCCTCCCTCACCCAGCTGCTGCCCAGAGAGCCGAGTGACTGTCCTGCTGCTCCCACCTGCACCGCATCCCCTTCCCCAATCCAGTGGGATGAGGGAAGCTTGGCAGCATCACCTCCGCAGTGCAACCATCCCCTCCATGCCAGAGCTGCACCAATTCGCTGCCCAAATCCTAACACGGCTGTAACTAAAACCTACCAGATTGAGCCTCAGGAAGGGCCCCCCCGCCGTGCTTCTCCCACCTCCCCCCCCCATTCCAAATGGGATTGAACAGATCTGCGCTCGCCCGAGCCCAGCTCGCAGCCAAGCAGCATCTGACACTCCCGCACAGTGGCACGGCTCTCTGCCGCTCACCCGCATCCCCTCACCTCACGCCACCCCCTTGGAGACGCAGCATCACTCCCATCGCAGCAGAACACAGCCAGACCCTCCTGCAGGGACACAGCTCTTTGGTCCAGTTAATGCCCAGTGTCCCCTCCACCAACAGAGGTACCCAAGGGGGTTTCAAGGTGGTTATGTGCAGGAGACCATGTTCAACCACCCAAGGGCGTTGGGGCCTGGTGGACAAGGGGCAGCCACAGCAGATGACAGAAACAATGGGTACCCCAGCAGGAGCTCCAGGAGCCACCATGAGGGGCTGTGGGGTGCCCAGGCAACGCTTCACCCCCAAGAGACCCACACACAGCCCATGGAGGCCAAGCTGAGATGTGTGAATCACTGCTGTTAACAGATGGGGTGATTATAGCATAAATTACTCAGGGTCTGCCTGATAACAAGGGCAAGGAAAGACCGATCAGCAGGCACTGAGCTACAGGAAGTTCATTACAAGTAAGAAAAGAAGTTATAGGCACAGCCACATGCGAGTATTTGATGGCAAAGAGCCCCACACCCATCAGTGCCACCTCAATGTGTCCTAGATCCACTAGTGCCACCTCCAATGGTGCCCAAATCCATTAGTGCCACTTCCAATGATGCTCAGATACATCAGTGCCACATGCAAGAGCAACCCCAGCCTGGAGAGGTCCTGTTGTGCTTCCAGCCCTCTCCAGTTCTCATCCTTCCACATCCCACCAGGCAGAGCACAAGCTGAGGGGCTGCTCCCAGGAAAGCCAGTGGTGGGAAGGGCTGGTGCACCATGGTCACCATCACCAGCAGTGAGCAAGAAGTGCACCGGCAGCAGGCACCAGGTCCAGCTCAGTGCATGAGTTTGGTCATTAATGGGTGGTGGGGACCACCTGGTCCTTAGTGATGAGACCCCCTACTTGAAAGGTGGCTACCACCTCAGTGCCTCTACCCCATGGACCCACAGGACATCAGGGAGGAGCTGTGCAAGCAAGGGTGCAGTGAGCACCCAGCTCACTCTGTGGGCTGAAGAAGACATTGGCATGCAAGAGGCATCTCTGCTGCTCATACCAGAAACACCCCAGAGGGCTGGGTCCCTGCTGCTTCTGTGCTGGTGGATTGAGGGATGCAATCCCTCCTCCCAGCCCCTCACAAACACCCATTCCTGAAGGCAACTGCTTTAAGGAGTCACTTTGAACACTGGGAAGCCGCCAGGGCCAGTGAACGGCCGCGATTGACAGATGTCCGAGAGGACGGCAAATAATCCTGTCTTCCTCTGGGAGGATTCGGGTCGCCCTCACCCTCTCTGGGGTTTATCCATTGTCTGCATCCGCCGGCGGTTGTTATTTTTGGTCAGTCCCGCGTTTTGTTTGGCCTTGCCGGCAGGAGGGAAGGAGGAAGAAGAGAAAGGGGAGGAAGGCTGCTTGGTAGGGGGAGGACCAGCTCTGTTTTGGGAAGGGGCAGTGAGGCACCCCACAGCCCTTGGAGATCCCGGCTGTCTCCTCCAGCACCTTCCTGTGCAGGCAGCAGTTGGGGTCATCTCCAGCAGCAAAAGGGGAGCTCCAACACGGATAGGCAAATCCTGCCCATGGCCAGAACCATCCCAAGCCCTGCCTGCAGACCCACATGTGCCTTAGGTCCATCACCATGGGCCAGAAAAGACTGGGGAAGCTCATGAAAGCTGGTCTCCAACCTGCCCTGACCCTCCGGGGATGTGGACCCCATCCTTCACACTTCCTCCCCAGCACTGTGCATCCCAGGCAGCCTTCCTGATGGCTGGGGCTTGCCAGCACTGCGGGATGCAACTCAGGCAGCTCCTGGGACCCATCCCTCCAAGCTGGGTGCAATGGGAGGTGTCAGCAGAGCCAGGGAATGAGACACCCAAGAGCTCCCAAGGAGAAGACACACAGCCATGCCCCAGCACTTTGCACTTCTGCCCATGTACCCAGTGGAACCAGGGGAGCATCAAGCCAGGACTTGCCATCTTTCTCCATGCCGCCTTCCCGGTCTGCCTACAAAGCACCAAGACAAGAAGCTGCCTCCCCACTCAGCAAGGCTTTGGCTCCTGCAGGAGATGGAGGGCACAGCACACAAAACCACCTCTCCCCAGCCTTCCCCACGGCTTGTCATTCAAGCAAAACCCGTGGCCTTTAAGCTGCCAAGGTACCAGAGCTGCTCCGGAATCGAGTTCGCTCGGCTCCTGCCCTGGAGCAAGGAATATGAAACGCTGCCACTGGAAACGAAACAGAGCATCCGTCATTTTACTTGCCAGGAATATATCCAGCCCCCAAAAAAAGAAATGCTGCCTGCTAAAGAGCCAGCAACAAACGCCCTCGATCGCACCGGCGAAGCGGAGCCTGGCATCGGGCATCACCACCCGGGGCCTGCTTCCCTGCTGCATTCAGAATCACCCAAAATTCAACGAGCAGCAGAGTCAGGAGAGGGCTGGAGCCACCCTGGAGCCAGGTCAGGACAGCTGGTGGGGACCAGCAGATCCCACCTAGGATGCTACAAGGAAAACTCATGGGTTTGGAGCAAGAAGAGGGAGATGGTAGAGGCAGGGCTGGAGGGATGGAAGTGTCCAAGCAGAGCCAGCCCTGCTGGGGGTGCCCATGGGAAGCCACCCTGCCGGTGGGCAGTGCCAGCATCCTGCCCCTGGCCATTCCCAGTGGCATCCCCAGGAAAAGGAGCTGCGTTCCCAGCCAGCCCAGCCCCCAGCCCAGGCACGCCAAGCCAAATATCTGCAAGAGGCGCTCCCCTCCATGGGAACGGCGACTCCACGCAGAGTTCACATGCCCCAGCAATGCCTGATTAAACTCCCAAACTCCCAGGGAATACCCCTGAGGCTGTCTGCAGATAAGCGAGGAGCTGGGCTGCTCGCAGGAAATGCAGCAACTGGGAAAGAGCAATGGCTCTTTTTTCCTTGCAGATCCAGACTAACACAGAGCAAACCCCGGCGCGCTCTGGCTCACACACAAGTGCTTGCCTAAGCTCACTGCTGCGCACCCCTGGAGCTTCCTGCTCTCCGGTGCGACCAGGAGCTCATGGGTGACCCCATCACCAAGCTAGATCCAACTGGAGGGAGTGGAGATGGAACTGGAGAGCCCAGGATAACTCAGTGCAGCACAGAGGAGCTGAGCAGGACCCAACAGGCTGAAAGATGTCGAGCAAGAGGATGGTGCTGGGCGGAGGGGAGGCTGCAGCAGGTACCCAAGGACAGGAACACTTGCTGCCAACACCTTCATCCAGGACCTGAGATGCTCTATCATTTCGTGTCACCCTGGGGAACACCTCAGACATTGGTTTCACCGATCCTGGGGTCTCCTGCAACCCCATCACTGCCCTTCTCCTCCCATTTGGCTCTCTTTGACACCGCAGCACTAGACCCAGATCTAGGTGTCCACATAGTCAAGGGCAACAGTAGTCAAGGAAACCATGTTGGTTCAGCACCCAGTGTGATGGGTGAGAAGGAGCGTCCCAGGGTAAAGACGAAGGAGATGATGCTCCTCCTCCTGAAGGCAGAGGAGCAACCAGCTCCTCCTCCTCTCCTGTGCTCCATGAGGGCTGAGCCACAGGGAGGCTCTGCATATCTTGGGGACCAGTGACCCCAGCGCTGGGCACCTCAGGGGTGCTCCATCCTGACAGCCACAACGTCAGCTTTGATGGAGACCAACTGACGTTGTAAGGTTGAAGTTCTGCTTTCAACCAGGATCTGCACTGACTGCACACTGTGCTCTCAGGTAGGCAAACCTGCCTGACACCACAGGAGCACGGGCAATGCACCTACCCAAGCCAAGATCTCCTTTGGAGAGGATGTCTTGCAGCTCTCTTGGTTCTTGGTGCTTCTTCAAGAATCAGCCCAAGAGGAAGGGTGTCCTCCTTCCCTGTAGCATGGAAGAACAGCAGTCCTGGGCAACCTGATGGGAAGAGTCATGAGGAAAATGGCTCCCAGAGAACTGCTGGGACAAGAAGTCCTGCTCTGGGGATGTGTAGGTTTTCACTGGGTGCCTCGCACACAGCCAGGAGACCTCACTGTGGCTTTTCTACAGATGAAGGTGGCAAATAAGAAAGATGGAGAGAGACTTCACCAAGGCCTGTCGTGACAGGACAAGGAGCAATGGTTTCAAACTGACAGAGGGCAGGGTTAGGTTGGACATCAGGAAGAAATGTTTTACAATGAGGGTGCTGAGGCAGGGTGCCCAGAGAAGCTATGGCTGAACCATCCCTGGCAGTGCTCAAGGCCAGGTTGGATGGGGCCATGCCCCCCATGGCAGGGGGGGTTGGTCTGGATGATCTCTGAAGGTCTCTTCTAACCCAAACCATTCTGATTCCACAGGAATTTGACTACCAGCACTGTGCCTTACCAAGAAAGCACAAAGGAGATGCGCTGGCAGACCTCAGAGGATCAACCACAAGACAGTTGGAAAGCAGAGCTGGGGCCCTGAGAAAGAGGAAGGGAACACCACCACCAGCACCAGCCACAACGTGAGTCAGGATGGGGGAACCCTCAGATGAGGGGCCTTGATTACAGGGTGTAAGCATCATCTGGACCTTCTTGGCTCCAGGCCCTGAGGGTCTACAACTGAAACTAGCATCAGACATCAATGCTTCTTCCTTTCCTCATCTCCCCATGAGCTGATGAACAAGGCGGGATGGCAAGGAACAAGATGGATGTGGTTTTCACAGGTGGTGCCTGCCACACTGTGGTGCATCCCTTCTCCAGCCAGCCCAGGGTGGGTTCAGAGACCCCAGCTTCCTCCCAGGGACCTGCCTGCTCATTTGGTGACCCCCTGCAAGAGAACCATCTTCCTTCACCCATGCCAAAGGGTTTGACCCCAGGCACTCCTGAAACCCAAGGGTTAGGTGGGTGGGTCCTCCAGCTGCAGCACTGGGAAGCACCAGAGATGGTAGGAATGGGGCCTCCAGAGCACAGGGCACCAACCCAGAGGGTTGATATCCACACTGCCTGCTCTCAATGGACATCCTCCTCCATGTGCTGCTTTCTCCAGCCTGCTCCATATCCACAGGGGCCACCACACCCTGGAGAAACCTCATTTCTCCAGGCTTGGATCAAGCACAGAAAATGATGTCCATCAGGAGTGTGGCCATCAAGGGAAAATCCTGCTGGAAAGCAGCAAAACCCCATCCCCAACAAGTGTGACCCACAGTGCCAAGGCAGCCACACTCCAACCAGGACAGCTCCGCCTGGTCCATCGCATTAGAGGGACTTGGCCTCCAGCATGAACTTCACCATGCAGGTTTGTGCCTTCAGGTGTTTTCAGAGGGGAATATATATTCAAATAAAGCAAGAAAGACAAAAAAATGGGGCATGCAACTGAGCTCCTGTGATCTCCCTATCTGTGCTGGGCATCCATGGAAAAATCCCGAGGAAATTTCTGCTAAAATATAATCATTCCACACAAAAAAAGGGAAAACCCACCGGAGGCTCAGCTTGCTGGACACAGCACGCCAGGAGGGGCTGACAGAGCTGTTACGGTCTATTGGGCCAATAATCCACAAACTAAGACAGATTTATTGTACATGGCAGATCGTAACAGCTCCAAAGAAACCATCACTGTCTCCCGGTGCTTAAAATTCACTTTCTTGGGGGGAAAAAAAAAGGCCAAAATATGGCTTGAAGAGATAAGATGCGTGGTTGTGACAGACAGAAGCCTGTGCAAACACATATTATGGGGTTTTTTCTCTCTTGGTATATAAATAAATAAAATATCTCCTCTTCCAAAGCGAGCGCAACAGCATTACCCAGCTCGGAGCGCTGTCCTTACCACCGGATTACCCGGCTTGGTTTCACCTCCCTTTAGCAAGACGGATTTGCAGGGATGCTGTTTCCTCCCCAATATTGCAGCCTGAACACAGAGAGGGGAATGAAAATGAAGCTAATTAAAGCCAACTTGTTCCCATCTGCCTTGCTGGGATGGGTGGGTTTGGGTCCCCTCTCCTTGGAAGGTGCAAGCCTCCAAAGAAGCAAGATGCCGGAACAGAGAGCAGGCTCTTTCCACTGCACATTGCGATGGTGAGCCCAGGGTGTGGGGATGTTTAAGGAGTAATAAAGGGCAGTCAGTGCTTTCCCTTCAGCTTTGCTCCTGGATGGACAGGTCCTGGGAGCAGAACGAGGAGAGAGACCAGCTCAGGCCCATCAGTAATTGTGATGCTTTAAATCAGCCTGGGTCTGGTGAAAGCTTAGGCCAGCTCACCATATCCGACGGGATCAAAGGGGCTCAGCCAACAGGTTTAGTGGCTCGGCACAGCCAATGGGGTAGACCTGGCCCCCGCTCGCTCTGCACCCAGGGAGCACGCATCCCTCAGTAGGGTGGTGCCAGGAGGATGCCCAGTGAGGCCCTGAACCCCCCCAGCATCATGATGGGTCAGCACTGCACTCACCAACCCCCCAAACTGCACCCCAAAACCAGTCCAAAGAGGGGGTGCTGGGGCCAAGCAACCCAAGCGATAACGGCTGGGCTCAGAGATGCAGAACAATGCTCACGAATGCAAGGAGGGGGTTTGCACAGATACCCCAGCCCCCTGAAAGCAATGGGCTGGGGCTGGCTGGGAGCTCCAGGGAGGGAGCGGAGCCGAGTAATTAGAGCAGGAGGCTGTGAGTCAGCAAACGATGCGTAACCTCGAGGTTGACAATGAGGGAGAAGATGGCAGTTTCGACCGAGAGAGCCCGCTGAAAGGGCACATTTAGATATGCAAGAAGCAGCAACTCCCAACAATCAGAGGGCTGGTGACCTGCTCCACAAACCACACTGCTCCACAAAGCACGCTGCTCCACAGCGGCCGCCCGCCTGCCACAAACCGGTGCCGCTCTCCACCATCGCTGCAAATAGAGATGGGGGCAGTCACAGCCCAAACCCAATGGGAGCAGGGGCCACTTCCAAACACCCCAGTGCTCAGAGCAGGAAGGGCAGTGGGCAGCATCTCCTGCAGCATCCCAGCCTGCCTGGGGAGCGGGATGCAGCCAGGCTCGGCGCCTGACCTTGCTCTGGATGCCCTGGAGAGACGAGCAGCCGGCGGCAGCGATACTCCAGCACGCAATGGATATTAAGGGCAAGGTTTGGCTCGGAAGCAAACCCCAGCTCCAGCCACAGGCTCATTCCCCCCTTGTTTTAGAGGGGGGCGCGTGTCCATGAGGGCTGCAGGCAGGTAGGGCCCTGCCGCACAGCAGCCCTCGGCGAGGAGACTTTAATTAACCCCGGAAAGCAATCGCTCAACGGCCAGCGCGGGAATCGATGCGGAAGGGGCAGCTTGCTGCCAAGGGACCATCTGCTCGGGAGAGGGATGACAGCTCCGGGTCCCCCCCTCCCGCTGCCCCACGCCTGCCGGGAAGCTGCTATGGGGCAGCTGGTTGGGGTGGGGGCCCGATCCTGAGCATCACTACCAGGTCCCCCCGCCCTCGGCTCTCCCCTCGCTTCCCGTAAAGCCCCACATCCCCACGTGATTTCCCACATGCTGCAGCCCACCCACCCCCCCCCCAGCACAAAGCCTGCCCCTATGGGGGGTCCCTCCAGGGCAAGGAAGCTGCTGGGATGCAGCTGAAGGAGAGATGGGCAGGATGTGACCAAGCATCCTCCTCGCCCACCCCACATGTTTTCACCCATGAGATGAGTTTGGGGCAGTCTCAGCCTTGAGGGCACAGAGGGGTTGTGCCTTTTTGGAGCACCAAATTCTACCTACAGCCAGACTCCCAGAAGAATACTCAAAGGGATGCTCTCAGCATCCTGCATCACCCAGGGTACCAGCTGCCCTGCCATAGGCCACTATGTTCTCTCCTGGTAGGACAAGGAGCCAGATAACTGAACCCCCCCACCAAGAGGAGGCAGCAGGGAAACCCCTGGACAATGAGGGAAACTAAGGAACACAGATTCATCTTTCCATGCTACTCCCCACACCATGGCCACCCCAGTATGAGCTGAGAGGGGCACAGAAAGAGAAGAGGTTCTGCTGTATCCACACTGCACCCTGCCTGGCCGCACTCCAGCAATAGCTCCCCAGCACCCACCTGCACCATCAAGCTCTGTGGGGAGCCCTGGGCCCTTCTCTAACCCTGTACCTCCCAGTTACTCCTTGCTTGCTTTTCATTCCACCCAATAAATGATGCCAGGCACTCAGAGGGACACGCTCCCAAGGGACCCAGGAGCTGCTCCCCACCCCAGAGCTCTGGGATGGGGTCCCTGGGCAAGTCTGGGATGAGTGCAGGGATCTGCAGCAGCATCCCAGGGCAAAGCCAGCCAGAGGGGGAAGAGAAGGATTTTGTTCTGCAAGATGGGACCCAGTGAGACCAGATGGCATCACTCCTCCCTCTTCTACATGGGGACCTTCTACCACCATCACATCCCACCCAGCTCCCAGGGTGACCACATCACATCTTGCTCAGCACCACAGAGGTGGTGCAGATGCTCCCAGTCTGGGAGCTGGGAGACACCTTGGGCTCCTCTTCAACTCCTCCTGCTGATGCCCTGGACCTGCAGACCCTCCGATGGCAACAGCAAAGCTGGAAGGGGATGGTGCTCCCTGCACCCACACACAGCAGCCTGGGTACCAGCTCAGGGCACACCTCTGCTCCAAGGAAAGGTCCTGGTGGATTCAGTTCCCAACCAGTGATGGAAACAAGCTCAGGCTCCTCTGTGGAGCTGGCAGGGTGAGGGCTTGCCAGCACATCCCACTGCCCCCAGATTCCCAGGGGAATACTCAGAGGGATGCTCTTGGTACCCAGCACCACCCAGGGTACCAGCCATGCTGCTGCAGGGCCTAGTGATGAGGCACTCCTTCCCATCCTGCCTGCCCTGCCATGACAGCCCATGGGGAGAACAGGCAGACCACTGCACGTAGGAAACTGAGGCAGGTAAGGGCTGGGGTGTATCCACACACAGCTGGTGGCAGCAAAGGGACCCAGAGCCAGCTTTTCCAGCTTTTCCTGCTCCTCCTCTTCCCTTGGCCATCCCAGTAGGAGTGCGCATGGAAGGAGGACAGGGAGCAAAGAGAGAGCAGGAACCACTCTGACCCCAGGACAGCGTGTGAGGCAGCAGCACATCCCCAGCACTCCCAGGAAGGATCCAACCCCCTCCAAACTGTGCTTGACCCCCCCAAGCTGGTGCTCACACCCCCAAAATGCTGCTTGATCCCCAAGCCAACACTCAGAGCCTAAACTGGTATTCAGCCCTCTAAAATGATGCCTGACCCCGAGCTGGTGCTCAGCCCATCGACACGGTGCTCAGCCCCCCAACACTGCGTTCAACGCTCCAAAATGCTGCTTGACCACTAAGCGAGTGTTCAGCACCCTAAAATGGTGCTGAACCCCAAAACTGCTCCTCAGAACCCTAAAACAACGGTTGACCCCCAAAGCAGTGCTCATCCCCCCTTGCTGCTGCTCAAGCCTCTCAAAATGATGGTTGACCCCCGAATCGGTGCTCAGCTCCCCAGAACAGTGTTTGACCCCTTTTTAGGCTCAGCCACAATGAAAGGGTCAACCCCACCGGGAGGTGCCCAAAGCAGGGCTGGCTCCGTTCACCCCCCAGAGCACCCAGGGACCATGGGGAGAGGCCCACGGTCACCACTGCCCATCGTCCCCAGGGACAGCTGCTCCAGCTTCCTCCAGTGCACAGCACTGGTCCTGAGGTTCTGCAGAGAAGAAGGAGAGCCCAGGTGTCTCCCCTGATATCCTCTGCCCCTGGGCTCAGCATGTCCTCCATCACCAAAGGGATGGGAGCACCATGGCAGGGATGTCGGTCCCACCCCGGACACATCTCTTGGCTGCACCACACAGGTCCTAGCACAGTGCCCTGGAGGGGCCCACCTTGTGCCCCCTTCCCAGCCAGTGGTTATCAAAGTCACCCCCCCAGAATCCCAGCCACACGCATCCCAGCTCCTGGGGAGTGCCAGGTAACCAGTGCCCTCCAACTCTGGCATCTCCAGACCCACAGACACAATCCCCATCACTGCCCTGTCCCTTCATCCCTCCCTGAATCCCCAACCCTGAATAACCCACCGTCTACAGCATGCATTCATCCTGGTTTAATCTCCACAGTGCATCAGCACAGGGAGGGAAGGGAAACACCTTTTCTCCTTTTCTTTGGGTCTTAATCTTTACCTGGGGTCGTATTTACCTATCCCTCAATGCATTCCCAAAGGATAAAGCCCCATCCTCCACTAGCCAACACTCGGTTGCTCCCAGCAGGAGCTGGACCAGGGAGCACCCAGAGCCCAGGAGCACCCAGAGCCCAGGCATCATGGCTTTAGCACTCCAGGTGACTCCAGTTCTTCCCAGTAAGGTGGTCAATACATGTTTTCATTTAAGGAACCCGAATGGGAACTTGGGGAGAAGCAGGCACAGCAAGTGATGGAGGCAAAGCCCAGCAGGTCTCAGCGCACCTCATGGGCTCAAAGCTTTAGGAAACATGCAGGGTAAGGATGAGAAACTGCCTCTTCAAAAGGATCTGCTGGAAAACCATGTGGTTTGCATCCCCCATGGCCAAGGTGCATGGCGACACCCCAGGAGCATCTCCCACCCCTGGCCATGCTGATCCCTGCCTCAGTTTCCCTGTGTCACCCCTCTCCCTGGGGATTCAGGCAGCGCAGGCTGCCCTTGAACCAGCTCCAGGGCATCAACGGTGCTGGGCAAGAAACGTGCCTTGGGAATCACCCTGGAGCTCTGCAGATGGGGGGACAAGGGCTCATGTGGCTGGGGGGATCCCTGCAGATGGGGGGGGACAGAGGGCTCTGCGGAAGGGGGCACGGGGGGAGCAAGGGCTTTGCATATGGGAGGCTCTGCAGACACAGGGATCTGCAGATGGGGGAGAGAAGACAGAGGGGAGCATGGAGCCCTGTAGCTGGGGGACAGGGTCCCTGCAGAATGGGAATAAAGGGGTCCCTAGAGATGAGGGAACAGAGGGCTCTGTAGAAGGGGACAGTGGGCTTGGCAGGCCAGGTGGGGACAAGGGGCACAGGGGTCCCTGCAGATGGGGGACACGATGGCCCTTCTTCTCAGGCCAACCTCCTGCTTCGCCACCCCCATACCAGGATGGCAGGGGCTACCCCCAGCCGGCCCTGACCCCCAGCCCCGCCGGCGAGCAGAGGCGAGCAGAGGCGAGCAGAGGCGAGCTAAGCGGTTATGGCAGCGCAGCCCTCCCGGCTGCCAGACAGCGCACGCTCCACCGCGGCCGGCACCTTGCCGCGCCAGCCTGGAATTTGCAAGCTGTCCTGATGCATTAAGGCACAAGCGCCTGGCGTCCAGCTCCCAGCACCGCTGGGGCCGAGCTGGGCAGGGCCCTGGCATCCCCCCGACAGGGTCCCCATCGCTGTCCCCAAGGGCGGCCAGAGCAGAGCCACCCTCATCATCTTCATCCTCCACATTTATTTTTCTCCCCATGCCCCAGCTTTAAAAAGCTCTTTCAGCAGAGCAGGGAGATGCTGCCAGCTCACAGCACCCTCATGGGCACAGCGCTGTCAGGATCACCACAGGGAGACAGCTACGGATGGGCTGCAGTCCCTTGCGGAGCAGGGTCCCCCTCCCTGTGCCCAGAGCCACACTGTGCTCCCCCAGGTCTGCATGCTCCCCACTGAGGCCAGCACCCACCATCCTGCATGGAGAGATCCCCCTGCTCTAAGGGACTCCCCTCAAAGCCACCCCTTGTCCATGCCCCGGGTTGCCCCTTCAGGTCTTCCCAAGGGATGGATGTGCTGTGGGATGCCTGGGCACCAGCCAAGGCTGCAGGCAAGGGGACATCCCGCTCTGCAGCATCAGCACACACTCATCCTCACCCACACACCCAGCGATGCTCTCAAATCACTGCAGGACTCAACACCCACCCACAGCCACCAGCACAGCCAAGGGGTGACCTGCAAAGGGACACAGCCATCCCGCAGCCGGGCAGGATGGGCTCCATCGGCTGTGCCGATCCCAGCCAGCACGGGGTGAACGGCAGCGGGATGCCCGTGGGAGGAGGGAACGGCAACAGCCGGCTGGAATAGGAGTGTGAAGAAACAGCTCTTGCGTGCTCTGTCCGGAGCCAGCCAACGAGGCCATATTTGAAATGCTTCGCATACCTCCGGTCATCAGATTAGCGAGATGCAGAAGGTAAAGCAGAGGGCAAGAGGAGCCCCGGCCGCTCGCTCCCATGGGCACCAGGGGCTGGAGGAAACGTCCCCAGCGGGGATGAGGGTGGCCATGGGGACCCTAAGAGCAACGGGTGAGAGGGATCCACCTCTCTGCTGTGATCCCAGCTGGACACAACTGAGAACAACCAGGTCTGCAAATGCTTGGGACCCTTCAGCATCAGGATGTTGGAGTGAGAACCCCTCAGCCTTTGGAATGCTCAAGTGAAAGACCCAGGAGTCTGATCTGACCCACAAAGTGGTTTTTCAGCCAGTCTCTGAGGGAAAGAGGCACAAAAGCCCCAAGGGCAGGTCCCAGCAAAAAGCAGTGAGAACCGATGACCCCAGGGCCTTTGGGGACACCAAGAGGTCTGAGCAGATGGATCTGCATTGCCCATTTGGACACGGCCAAAGACTTTCATAAGGAAGACTGCAGGAGACAGATACTGCCCAGATGCCACTGTGAAGAGCTGGAGCACTGGCATGAACTCAGGGCAGCAGCAGAGGACACCAGAGGTGAACATGCCCGATCTCATCACACCAGAGCACAACCC